CTACTTCCGTAGTGATACTGCCTCGGAAACCCAAGGAGGGGTCGCTATGAGTCGGGGCCGACTCGATGGCACATAACAACAACAACAACATATATACACTCACTGCCATCGACTCGATTCCAACTCAGAGTGACCCCCACTGGGTTTCTGAGACTGTAAATCTTTACAGAAGCCGATTGCCCTATCTTCCTTCCATTGAGCAGCTGGTGGGTTTGAACCACTGACCTTCTGGTTAGCAGCCAAATGCCTTACCCCCTATGCCACCATATATTCTCTATAAATGGCAATGGACAATGGGCTTGGCATATATACATATAATCTCAAAAAATCAGGTAAGTATTGGATTTCTCTTCTGAAACACAAGTACACCCACACATATTACTATAAAAACAATAATATAAATACTAATTATGTATATACACATACAGATTTGGTTTGAAGTGACAGACATTTATCATCTCATATTTCTGGGTCTCAGAAATTTGGGAGTGGATTAGTTGTGGTTCTGGATCAGCCTGTCTTATGAGATTGCAATCAAGATGCCAGCTGGGGCTTCATTTGTCTAAAGGCTTGACTGGGGCTAAAGCGTCTGCTTCCTAACTCACTCTTGTGGCTGCTAGCAGGAGGCCTCAGTTCCTCACTGACTCTTCGTTAGAGGCCCTGACACATATGGCCTCACCATGTTAATAGTAGGGAACATGAATTTTTAAGATTTTTGTGTAGCCTGTCTTATTTTTCTGACTTGTCATGTGTTTTCCCAAATATGAGGCAACTTCATTTCAGAATAAAAGATGTTCTGTGGAGTAGCAGAGAAGAGTTATCATCTGGCCCTGTAACATTTTAAGGATTCTACACAGGAGAGAGGCTAGGATATCCATGGGAAAGAGGCTTCAGCAAGAATTCCATCCCTGCCTACCTGACAATACCAGGATAGAAAACCAATAGTGGCCCTGCTAAAGAAAGGGTTTCAGTAGAACTTGCTATCTGTCAGAAAATCCACACAGAGGAGAAGTCCAACCACTATCCAAGAGGAAAACCGTTAGTAAGATTATCCACATAAGAAAGCCAGAAAGTCCATTTAGGAAAGAAACCTGTTCACTCTTTCTTGGTCCATGGGACATATAGTGTCCACCTAAATTTTCCATCTCTGGGGTTTAGTAGGAAGCTGTATTCCACTTAGAGTGGATGCTGTCATTTGGTGGGGGCCTGTATAACAGTGTGAATCTGCAGAAATGGGCTTCATCCCACCAATGCCAGTACTAGAGACCCCTTGGTATATATGTGTCCCACTAATTGTATCAAAATCCATATTCTCTCTGAATTTTCTTTTTCATTTCATTCAAAATTCCTTCAATTATTGAAAATGCATGGTTTCTACACAAAATTCAGAGCAGAAAATAATTTGCTCTTGAAAAGTTTAACTGAACCAGTTGTGGGAACCCTTACTATGAAAGGCAGCCCGTAAATGTTCCTGGGAGTTCACTTAATCTTAAAATGGCTCATCATTCCTCATATGCTGAGCTTTCCCTGAATCTCCCCATACTCCATATAACCAGTGTGAGTTGGGTACCCCTCCCTTGTGTGCTCACAGTACTCTGCGCTTACCTCCACCTTAGCACTTGGACTTTCATGTTTATACCACTAACCAGTAAGCTCCTTAGGAAGAGAGCTTGACACATACTAGCTAGTCAAACAGTGCTTCTTGAATAAATGGCTAGACAACTTCATTGTTGTTGTTAGGTGTCATTGAGTTGGTTTTGACTCACAGCGAACTCAAGTACAACAAAACAAAAAAGTGCCGCTTCCTGTGCCATCCTCACAATTGTTGTGCTTGAGACCACTGTCACAGCCACTGTGTCAATCCATCTCCTTGAGGGTCTTCCTCTTTTTGTGGACCATCTCCTTTATCAAGCATGACGTCCTCCTCCAGGAACTGGTCTCCCCTGAAAACATATACAAAGTACCAGAGGTGATGTCTCACCATCCTCTCTTTTAAAGAGCATTTGGTCTGTACTTCCTCCAAGACAGATTTGTTTATTCTTCTGGCAGTCCATGGTATATTCAATATTCTTTGCCAACATCACAATTCAAATGCATTAATTCTTCTGCAGCTTTCCTTATTTATTGTCCAGCTTTCACATGCATATGAGGTGACTGAAAAGGTCATAGATTGGGTCAGGCACACCTTAGCCTTCAAAGTGACATCTTTGCTCTTTAACACTTTAAAGAGGTCTGTTGCAGCAGATTTGCCCAATGCAATGCATCGTTTGATTTCTTGACTGCTGCTTCCATGGGCACTGATTGTAGATCCAAGTAAAATGAAATCCTTCACAACTTCAATCTTTTCTCCATTCATTATGATGTTGTTTATTGGTCTAGTGAGGATTTTGGGTTTCTTTATGTTGAGGTGTTATCCATAGTGAAGGGTATATATATATAGTCTGATCTTCATCACTAAGTGCTTCAACTCATCGTCACTTTTAGCAAGGAAGACTGTGTCATCTTCATATTGCAGATTGTTAATGAGTCTTCCTCCAATCCTGATGCTGTGCTCTCCTTCATATGGTCCAGCTTCTCGGATTATTTGCTCAGCATACAGATTGAATGAATATGGTGAAAGGATACAACCCTGACACACATCTTTTCTGATTTTAAACCATCCAGTATCCCCTTGTTTTTTCGAATGATACCTCTTGGTCTATGTACAGGTTCCTCCTAAACACAATTAAGTGTTCTGGAATTCCCATTCTTTGCAATGTTATTCATAATTTGTTATGATCCACACAGTTGACCATGCCTTTGCATAGTCAGTGAAACACAGGTAAACATCTTTCTGGTATTTGCTTTCAGTCAAGATTCATGTGACATCAGCAATGATGCCCCTTGTTCTATGTCCTCTTCTGAATCCAGCTTGAGTTTCTGGTAGTTCATGTTGCTGTACTGCTGCAATGTTTTTGTATTGTTTTCACATGATTTTACTTGCATGTGATATTAATGATATTTTTCAATAATTTCTGCATTCTGTTGGATCACCTTTCTTTGAAATGAGCATAAATATTGATCTCTTCCAGTCAGTTGGCCAGGTAGCTATCTTCCAAATTTCCTGGCATAAATGAGTGGACTACCTGTATCTATGTGTGTGTGTATGTGTGTATGTGTGTGTATGTATATAATTTTCCCCTATAGTTACACCATTATACCATTTCAAGGTGGAGAAGGGTATGATTTCAAGATTCTATACCCAAATTATTTTCATTGGGGTCATAACTTTAATCAATATTAAATAATCCTGTTAGTTTTTAAAATATTTTTACTAGCATAGTATTTTGACTCAATATAAAACTATCACCCTTGTATTAATTTTAAGTTTGTCTAATACATCTTTGCAGTATGTTTGTTTTTGTTATCATTTTATTTCAAATATGTTTCTTATCAGCTGCTTATAGTTTAAATTTTGTTCAAGGAATTTGAGAATCTCTTAATAGGGCATATTTAAATTATATTTATCATTATAATAAAATTGGTGTATTTGGTCTCCATTTGTTGTACCATTTGGACTTATACTTGCTTTCTTGTTTTTGTTTATGTTCTCTTTTTTAATGTATGGATTGTGTTTTGCTATTTGAAAAGTATTCATATGCCTCTAATTATTGTTTTGTTTTTATATCTTGCTCAAGAATCCCTTTATTCCAACATTGAATCTCAATTCTCAATTTTCTGTCTCATTTGCTTTTAACTGTTCATCCTTTTCTTCTACATTCCAAGGGAACTTCTCAAACATGCCCTCAACTTACTAATTTAATTTTATAAAGGGTCATTTTTGTTTGTTTGTTTTGATGCCTTTAATCTGGTTATTATTGTTATCACTATAGTTTCTTTGCCATCTGTTTTTATCTCAACTGGCCACTGTTTCATCTCAGAATTCATCTTAGACTATCCTCATTTTTATTTCAACCAGATCTCTCTGTATTAATTCCTATTTTTCTTTCACACTGTTTAAGTGTTTTCTGTCTTACAAATTCCATGCTGTGTTTTGTGTTCTTGTTAGTAAAAACATCTCCTGATAAATAATCCATCCCTGGTGTTTGCCAATAGATAAGGTATATAGGTTGCCCCAGAAACTCTGGTAGCATGAACGGTTATGCACTTGTCTATTAACTGGAAAGCTGAAGGTTCAAACCCACCTACTGGCTCTGTGGGAGAAAGACCTGGCAATCTGCTTCCATAAAGATTATAGCCAAGAAGAGCCCTAAGGGGACAGTTCTACTCTGTTACACTGGGTTGTCATTAGTCAAAATTGACTTCACGGCACCCAACAACAACATAGGTTGCCCATGGAGCAGTTCTACTCTGTAACAGAGGGGTTGCCATGAGACAGAATGGATTTGATGGCAACTTTTTTGTTTTATTTTTTGTTGCATTATGACTGCCCTCTCTTCCCCCTTCCCCATTCCACTCCATCCTGCCCCCTACAGTTAATGGCTCTCCCGGATGCTGCCAAAGTTCCCCTCTCAAATTACAGGAAGGTAATTTGGAAGGTGAGTTGATCGGCACTAACCTACTATGCCCCAGCCTGAAATGGGACCTCTTTTTGCCTGTGCTGCTCAGTTCTTTGCAAACCTGACCAAATGGAGCCTATACAAAATATTGGTTCTTAGCATGTTTTGCTCCCAAGGCTCTTCCCATTTGTACACCCACTTGTAGGGTGGTTATATAGGAAAACCACCTCTCATGATGTAATGTACAATCTCTTGTCCTGCTTTACTTCCTCAAATGCTCTTCAGAAGGAAGTGGTAGTCTCCAAATGGAATCAGAAATAAAGTTTCCAATGGAAGACCAGGAAATGAGGGACCAAATAGGCCTCCAGCCACCTACCTGGTAGGGGATGGTGCTGACACACAAAACGCCTCTCTGATTAGGGACAGACGTGGGAAGGCTGAGGTCAAGCCCTTCCTCCAGCCTCAGGTTTTCTCTGATTCAAAAGGAAAGAATTCATAGGTCATTGTTGGGTTTCCTGCCCAGTTTCACTGACCTCATGATTAGTGGAATCATCCCAGATGGTGACAGTAGTTAGACTGTGAGTCTTTGTTCTCCCTCCCATAAGTTTTCATCTTTTCCTATTGATCAGGAAAAACTGCATTAGAGCTGCTTAACCTGATCACAGTGTAATCCAAGAGAAAGAGACTGTAAGGGCCAGCTGTTTTATAATCTGCCACCTAATTAAGTGAACAAATGTTCAGGAATAGACTGTTTATTAATACTTCCCCCATTGCTATCATTTATACTTTTTCTATTACATTAAAACTACATAAAATGTTGACAAAATACCAATGTATAGATATTAGTTATTTTGAAATATATTGGGTATAATACCTATTCTTTTAATAATATTCTGTGTATTTACATATCAAATCACATGTAAAATTTTTTCACTCTTTCTTACAGAATTGGTGATGTAGGACTCAAGCAATTCCTCGATGGTCCTGTGAGCATAAAGATAAGAGAGCTAAATTTAAGTAACTGTATACATCTGGGTGATGCTTCCATTGTGAGACTATCAGAGCGGTATGGCAGAACACTATTTCACATCACATCATTAGCAATTACATATTTGCTAATAGGAAAGAATAGAGATAGAACTAAAAGCAAGACTTAAATCATCTGGAAAATAACAGGGATGCCCAGAAATTGGTGCGATACTCAGTGAAATCAGATAAAATACACAGAAGTCACTGATTGAACTTAACTTTTGGTTATATCTGATATGTTACTTATTAATTTCAACTAAGGGAGAGTCATTCATATCTAGTCACGGGTGATATCTGTGCACTTTTTTCAAGAGTGTTATCTCTATGTTATCCTCTGTTCCAGTGTTTACCAAGGGATGTTATAGCTGGTGGGTTTATTCTTAATCTTCATACTTGTCAGAGGTCTGTGTTCACTAAAGGTTAAGCTCAATTTCTATAGAAAACTTGTATAAGTGAGAAACTTAACCTTACATTTTAATGGTCATTGTATCATAGTATTTACTTGATATTTTTTTGCATGCACATGATTTTGTTAAATTAGAAACTGTAATTGCAATATGAAACTAAATCATAGAAACACATAATCATCCTCCTCTCTTTCATCCAACTTTGTAATCCCAAATTATTTTCTACTTGCAAGCTTACTTTTATGTCAAGAGAAATTCTTGCTTTGATATCATTTGATTTCACCAGATAGTTTTTAATACAAAGAAATTGCTATTGACAATGTGCTTGAATGCTAAATTTAATTCTTCATGCTGCTTTCTTTCAGCTGCCCTAATTTAAACTACTTGAATTTACGGAACTGTGAACAGTTAAGTGATGTAGGAATTGAGCACATTGTAAACATCTTTCCCTTGGTGTCTGTGGATCTCTCTGGGACACTCATCTCGAATGAGGTAAAAAAAAAAAAAAAAAAAGCACTATATTGAAGAAGTTTAATGACTTTTATTGTTTTCTGCAATATACCCATGTGACATTTTGTAAACAATGGAGAGAACCACACTTTTTATTTTTAAATTATTAGATTATAGAAGGCAAATTTTTAAATCTTGTTTCTGGAATGATAGGTGAAGATCTTTGTAAATAAATGGTCTTGTTTCTCTGTTTAAAAAGTAGCTGTTTTAGTTATATAGTGCTTCTATAACAGAAATAAGACAAGTGGATGGATTTAAGAAGCAAATTTATTTTCTCACAGTTTAGAGGATAGAAGTCTGAATTCAGGGTGTCGGCTCTGGGGGAAGACTTTAACTCTCTGTTGGCTCTGGAGGGAGGTCACTGTCACTTTGAGCTTCTGTTCCTGGTGATCTTTATGTGCCTTGAAATCTCTTTTCTCCCATCTCTGCTTCTTTCAACTGCTTGTTCTATCTCTTTTATATCTCAAAAGATGTAACTCAAGATGCACCCTACATTAATCCTGCCTCATCAACATAGCAAAGACAACCCATTGCCGAACGAGATTATAACCATAGGCATAAACTCAAAAAAACTCATTGCCATCGAGTTGGATCTGACTCATAGCAACCCCCCCTTGGGTTTCTGAGGCAGTATCACTACGGAAGTGGATTGCCCAACCTTCCTTCCGAGGAGTGGCTGGTGGGTTTGAACTGCCAGCCTTCTGGTTAGCAGTCAAGTGCTTTAGGCACTATGCCACCAGAGCTCCCAACCATAGGCATAGAGGTTTGGATTTATAAAACATATTTTGAGGGAGTGCATAATTCAATCCATTAAAGTAATAAAATACAGTATTTTAAGGAAAGTCCTCACAGATTGAAGAGTTACATGACAGATGTGAAATTTGTTTTATTAAAGAAATTTGGTCAATAAAGAGATAATATATTTTATATGGCTTAAGTATATTTTTCTTGTGGGCTGCACATTCTATAAGACTTCCTGGGTGCCTTGAAGTCTATGTCTTTAGTTAAGACTGAAGTCTGGAAGTGGCCCCATCAAATCTACAAAAGGATACATTTTAAGGAATTTGTTTCCTGCAAGCTTCTGCTGCTGCTCATCAGAATTGAAACACAGGTCACAACCCACCCTGCCACTCCAATCGGCCTCATTTCCTAATCGAATGGAGATAAACCCTGGGAGATTTGCCATTTTTCTGCAAGACTTTAATGGTTCCTAGGCGGTGCAAATGATTTGTGCTAGACCATTAACCTAAAGATTGATGAGTCAAACCCATGGAAGAAAGGCCTAGCAATCTGGTTCTGTTAAAATTATAGCCAAGAAAACCCTATGGAGCAGTTTAAGTCTGTAATATATGGCGTCACCATGAGTCAGAATTGACTCAATGGCAGTGGGAGTTAGATGAGAAATGTACTTACTGGCTTCTCTTCAAAGTCATTGTTCTGGGAGGGATATAGGAAGACAGCAAAGAGATAAGGATCCTTCTGAAGGAGATTGTGAAAGTTAAGAGATACTGATTTGGAAATTGCAAGTCTGATTGTATTCTCAAATCTCTGGTTATATTTTGTTTTACTTGCCTTCCTCTCTCTTTTCATTCCTGTTTCCCGGAAACTTCATTCCAAGTTTCATATTGCAAAAGTACCACATGCACACAACGATCTATCAAGTCAGTACTATCCCAAGCTACACTTAAGGCTTTTCCTGAAATATCCCCATGCCACCGTGCATTGGATATGTTATTTCCTTCGACAATAATCCCCGTCCTTCTCCAGCTCTTTGTTAAATCCCTGTTCACCTGTCAAGACTCAGATCAAATACCACTGGTCTGTGAGGAACATCTCTATGTGCACTGTGTGTCCTTTAACATGACCTGTTTCTGACTGCACAGCCACCTGTGTTGTGTCCATCCTTCTCCACCATTCGTTGAGCTGTTTTAGATAAAAGACCAAGTCTGTTCATCAGTTTAGGTTCCTGTCTTCCTTTGTCTATGAGTGAACTTCAAAGTAGCCTCCATTCTGCCGATGGTCTCCTCCCCTCTTCATTGGAGTATCATCTAAGTGTGGTGTTTGAGTGGGAGTGGGGTGCAGTTACATGGAACCAACTCATCATGGTGGGGTCAGTGTCTAGTTCTCTCAGAATTGTCTTCTGACCAAGATGGAGTCCACTGAGATCTCTGAGGACCCATGTGTTTCTAGTTTCCTGTTGAGGTAGATCCCTGATGTGCGTTCCTTGTTCCAACTCCAAGGACCCTTCAAGTCTTCAGCTCCCTTGTCATGTGTGGGCTTTGCTGGGATATGGGGTCCATAGTCCTAGTTAACCCATGCCTCCCCGTCCCCTCTCTGCTACAGAATGGCTGACCCGTGCAGCTTCCCATGTCAGCTACATTCTGGTTGGGTTTGGCCCTTATAAAGCATTTGTGAGTTTGAAGTTTGGAAGAAGGAAAAGGCCAGGGTTTTCTCCCTCCTTTCTTTGTAGTATCGTTAACAGCTGCATTTTCTCTGTGGTCTACTTCCTCTGAGCAGCCTGCTGTTGCTCCAGCTTTTCTGGGTGACTTTCACCCCTGAGCTCCAAAAATATCACCTCTTCCCTTTGGCCTCCACCATAGGGGTAGCAGTGGCTTCCTGTTGCAACTAATCTCTAGATTGTATCATTACCCCAGTTGGCTACTCAGTTTCTATAACACCTGTGTAACCAATTCCCAATTACAATGAAAATTCTTCAGTGTTAAATATTCAGTGGTTACTGTTTCCCTCATTGAATCTTATCTGATACATCAGGAAAACTATGATGCCTTATTGTGTTCCTCTGCCATGGTGCTTGTACCCCATCCTACCAGGGAAAGGTGGAGCAGGTTCCTGTTTAACCCTAGGTCCCAAAACCTATGTGGAGGTTGCACCTTTCTTCCTCTAAGGTGGGTAGAGGCCAGGCAGGTCTGTCACAGAGCCCCAGACGGGGAATCCCCCAGCATGCCACGCTTCTGCTTCCCCCGACTCTCCCTTTCCCTCTCCTCCTCCTCCTTCTCCTCCCTCACTCTTCTCTCTCTCTTCTCTTCCCCCTCCCCCCGTCTCCCCTCTTCTTCACTCTTCTCCTTTCTCTTGGCACAGACTCTTTATCTAATCTGGGGGTAGAAAAAAATGTTTACCTGATTACATGGTTTTTCAAAATGTTATGCCCCAAGTCTTTTTTTTTGAAGCTCATAGGCTCAGGATTTTTTCTCTTGTGTTCTGTAAAATCCCTTCACTGACACATACAAATAAAATGCCCAGCTGTTATCTGATGGGTCACAGGATAACAAGAAGGAGAGAAGCAAAGCACATTATTAAAAATATAATTTCACCACAGCTCTTATTATGTGCCTGAAGTGCCCAGTGAATATTTATTAAATGAATGGAGTGAAGTTTCTACCTTTCTATCTACAGAGAAGGAACTCTGGTGGTGTACCACCATCTGACTGCTATCAGAAGGTTGGTGGTTCAAACCCACCAGCCACTCCATGGAAGGAAGACTGGGCTATCTACTTCTATAAAGATTTACTGCCTCGGAAGCCCAAAGGGAGTCACTATGAGTCAAAACTGACTCTATGGCAGTGAGTCTGGTTTGGTTTATCTAGAGAGAAGGAGCCCTGATAGTGCAATGGTTAAGCATTCACATGTTAATTGAAAGATTGGTGGTGTGAACCCCCTAGCTGCTCTATGGGAGAAAAATGCAGCAATCTGTTTCCATAAAGATATGTTGTTGCTATGTGCTGTTGAGTCGGACCCGACTCATAGCAACCCCTCCTTGGGTTTCCGAGGCAGTATCACTATGGAAGTAGATTGCCCCATCTTCCTTTCAAGGAGTGGCCGGTGAGTTTGAACTGCCAGCCTTCTGGTTAGCAGTCAAGTGCCTTAGGCACTATGCTACCAGAGCTCCTCCATAAAGATGTAAAGCCTTGGAAATCCTAGGGGGCAATTCTACACTGTCCTATAAGATTATGGAATTGGCTCAATGGTCATGAGTTTGTTTTTTTTCTTTTTCTCTCTTTTTTTGTAGGACCTAGAGAGAAAATTTTACCTTTGTTTTTAGCTGTTGGGGAAAACTCAGTTTTTATTTTCAAAAACCATATATGAAAATTTCATCTACTGAGGACATGTTATAAATTTAGGAATATATCTTCAGGTTCCATTTACTGTTTATATTTTCTTGTGAAGAACACACATCCTTTACCACAGCTGCCAATGGACATCTAGGGGGAAGACGCTTGTTGTTTCCTACTAAAAGGCTGAAAAATAAGTCTCCTGAAAAGTTGTTTTCTTCCTCTGGGTCAATTAAACTCAGATCTAAAAGCTAAATGATTGACACTGGCAACTAAACAGCTGTGGAAGCTAACCTCAAACAGTCAAATTAAATGAGTCAGCCCAGATGGCCAACTTGGGCGGCTAAACAGCTGCCTGATTATAGGGTCTGATGAAGTACAAAGCTGATGGTAGACTGAACAGTTGTGATTTAAATCCAGAATGTTATAGATATTCACCAAACATAAAATGTGACCAGTTGTGCCTTTTGGGGGGGGAAAAAAAAAAAAAGGTTTCTTATGTTTTCTAATGATATGTTCACTCTTACTTCTTTTTAGTGGTGACTTTTCAGTTAGAATTATGCTGATCATTTAGTTAAGAAATATCTATTCTGACTACATTGTGCTTGGTACTGGGGATGGTGGAATGAACAAAACAGACATGGCCTTTTCTCCTAGCAATTACATTCTAATGGGAAGACAGGCATGGAGCAAGTGGTTACAAAGTATGATGCATGTGAGGAGCAAAGAGAAAGGAAAGCTAACCTGGCTCAGAGAGTCAGCAAAGCATCCTTTTTCAAGAGAAGGAGGAATGTGCAGTGAAGTAAAGGAAAAGCCTGCACAAAGGTATGGAGTTTAAAACATGGAGGTGTTGAGGAAATTTGAGCAGTTGGCTATGACTGGATCATGGGGTAAGTGGTGAGAGGTGATGTG